TTCAGCAGTAAGGGTTGATCCACGCTTAAGCAAGGTCAGGGATTCAAATCCTGTCTTGTACATGCGCCGCGTTAAATCTTAAAAAAAAATATTTATAATCTGTTTAAATACAAATTACAAATATTTTTAAAAAATTCTTTACTAAATATAAATAATATTTTTTAATAAAAAACACTTCGCAACGTATATCCAGAAAGACTTTTAAAATGGAAGAGAGTGAAGTATATATATATATATATCCACCTGAGCTGGCGCACCTGGAGGAAGCATAGAAAGAAGAACCTCTCGAACCACTTGCTGCTGCTGGATACGAGACCTACGCTGCATTACCCTCTTAGAAACATCGACGAAACTCTCATAGTCATACAACCAACCTTTCTTCTCTCTACCGTTTGGATCCGCAAATTTCTCCATCTTACGCGCGAAGAGAGTCATGAAGGCCTTAGCGAAAATGCCGTCATTGTAGCGCGTCTTTTGTCCTAAAGGAGCAGGTTCACCTGATGGCTCAGCTATCCCACACCGAATCCTCAACACTCCGCGCGCATTTCCGCCACGCAACGATGGGCGTTGGGGTTTCGGAGGACTTGGCCGCACACCTTGCAAGCTCAGCGCCACCATCAATACCCACTGTTGAGTTTCTCAATTGACACACGTGGAAAATCCCACTCCCTTCCTCTCGATGAATAAAAAGGATCACGTACTTTGCCTGATCGGAATTAAAATTAATTATGCCACAAAATATACATATGGGTATCAAGATGAACGCGTATATTGCTTCATTTCAGCTTATTTATTACAGACCACACGTTCCTTTTCATTATCGTATAATATCTGCTTAAATATTTAGTCCTTCCCCGGTATCATAACTTGTGATTTATTAAAATAGTTATATAATATAAATTAAATTTAATGCGATATTTTTCTTATATGAAAGATGAAAAAGGTAGATTTTATTCGCAGTAATTAATAAGTTCACTAAATATATTTTTGTTTTGTTACTAACGCACATATATTTAAATAGAGGATTTAAAATAAAATTTTTATTTTCAAATTACAAAAATTAAAATTTCAGTCTTAAATATAACAAACTAAAGCTAACTCTTCACCAAGGACTAAAATCATATTTAAAGTTTTATAATATTTTATTTTAATTTGTAAAATATATATGAACCAACCAAATAGAAAAATACAGTATGCGCCGCAAGCTCGGTACAAAATGAATTCTAATATGTAAAAGAAACCAGTATTTTAGTATATATTTATTATATATAATTAAAATTTATAATAAATTATATATATATAATAAATATTATATGCATGAAAATATAAATTATATTTAAAATTTGTATAAATATATATATATTTAAATATATAAATTATATTTTAGATTTAGAATAAATAATTTATATTACAACACTAGATTATTTTTATTTGTCGATAATTTATTTTAAGAATATTAAAATTTAATTCATAAATAATTATGATAACTAAAAATTAAATTTTATAAAAAGTTAAAAAATTCTTAAAAACCTTATCGTCAAAGAAAATGTCTTAAAAAGATTCTTGTGCAAAAAAAATATTTGTATTTAATATATAGAAATTGATTTAGATTCATGATCGTTTAAACATATGTATTTTCAGAATGAAATACATACATGTGTGTGTAATAAAGTTAAAAGCGTGATTATTGATTACTCATTGTAATCCTTGAACTCGTAAGGAACTATCATATTAGAGTATTTACAATGGGAGTTGCTTATAAGCAACTTCCAACCACTTTAAATGGGTCCCACTGTGCCACGTCACTCATAAGCAACTCATACTATATTTTTACAATTTTTGCTCTAGTGGAAATTGCTTATAAACACTCATATTTTTTATAACTCATACTACACTTTTTGACACCTCACGCTATACTTTATGATAAAGTTTTATAAAATTAATTATTATAAATAATATATAAATATAAATATCTAACAAAACAAAAATGACAATAATATTTAATTTCAATAATAAAAAAATATTACATAATAAAAAAATACCAAAAATTTCAATAATAAAAAGAAATCACAAAATAAAAAGAAATATCAAAAATTACAATAATAAAAAGAAATTACATAATAAAGAAAATACAAAAAAGAAATACCAACATCTCTCAATGTCTTTTTTATTATTATTTACGTCTATCAACGTCTCTCACTCTCTATTCACGTCTATCTCTCTATTCACTCTTTGTTCACTCTCTCTTTCTCTTCACATTTCTTTCTTTTTCCCTTCACTCTCTCTTTCTCTTCACTCAAGCTTTCACCAGGCGAGGTCTGTCGTGCTATGAGGAGAGGGTTCTGTTGTGCGAAGAGGCGCGCACGCAAAGCGGTCTCTCGTGCGGAGCCGCACGCCAGAAGGTTCTGTAGTTCAGAGGTCACACGCGGGCTGGTGGGTTCTGTCTTCGGAGGTCGCGCGCGGGCTGGTGGGTTATGTCGTCGGAGGTCGCGCACGCGGAGGGGGTTAGTCGAGCGGAGGCGCGCGCGAACCGAGGGTCTGGTCGGGCTGGTCGGGCGGTTCCGCATCAGTGAGGTCTGGTTCAACCGTGTTGCGCGCGCGTAGAAGTACTCATAATGGTGGAGTCGCGCGTGCGGGTTAGGGGGTGTGCTCCGTGGTCCGGACGGCTAAGCGCAGTCGATGACGCGCGACCGACGACCGGTGGCCGGCGTCGACAACCCTTCCTCCAACGTCCAGCGGCCTTCGCACATGCCCAACGGAGGAAGAACCTGAAGATGGAGGTTTTATCTATTTTTTTTTTATTTTCAAAACCCCTTTCATATTCCACCTGGATTCCTATCAGCCAATCACATTTCTCTTTTTCAAATTTTTCAGTGCTAAGCATTGTTCCTTGTACAAGCAACTGGAAAAAAAATTTAAGCAACTGGGTTGCCATGTAGGACCACTCCAATGGGAGGTTTTTATAAGCACCGTTGCTTATTCTTAAGCAACACAGGAAGCACCCCCCATTGGAGGTGCTCTTAGTTCCTAAGGCTAATAAATTATAAAATTAGTTGCTAAAATATAAAATAAGTCTTTAAATGTAGCTATTTATTGTAATTTTAGCACTTGAATATATATTAATAGTATCACTTTAGTCACACATATTTTTTGAGTTTTGGTTCAATAATTATATATATATATTTTAATTTTAGAGACTAATAAGATAGAGTTTTACAAATTTAAGGGTCAAAGTGGATATTACAATTGAGAGACCTATGCCTTTTTATGATATATATATATATATATATATATATATATATATATATATATATCAAAAAAATATATATATATATATATATATATCACAAAAATATAAATTTTAATGTTAACAAACTTGTATATTTTGACAAAGAAATGATTTTAAGATCGTATAAGAAAGATAATTATATAAGACGATTAGTTATGATGACATGCAATCTCTAGAACAAAACACTTCATCCATATAACACGAATACATTAAATATATCATTTATTATGTTAATAATCATATCATCTATGTATGTGTTATTCCTTAATAGATCAACAAAATAAAAGCTTCTAATCAATTATCAACTATTCCTTTAATAAGATATCATCATAGAAAAAATAATTAGTTGTTGTGTCTACTCTATAAAAAAAAACTATTCAAGGAGAAATTTTAGAGTAGGAAAATCAGAAACTGATCTCTACCACTTTGCGATAGCTTTTGTTCTTATCGGAATTTGCAAGTACTTTGACGATGGGAAAACATTCTTGTTGCTCCAATATTTGTGGTGTTGGGGGCATCTACAAAGATACTTTGACGCTTAAGTTAAAGGAGAGTTTAGATTAAGAATGAGATTATAGTAGAATGATACTTGGTGCCCCATATATATGTGGTTCATCTTATCTCTAGGTTTCAAGATCGTGTTGTGTGATATCTTAGAGATATGTTTCAATGATTCTGTGGAGATACTCTTCTTAATGGCTTTTTAGCCGGAATAAAAAAAAAATATACGCGAAATAAATATATAAAAAAACTAATAACCAAAATAGGTTGTTTTTGCCACATAGGCGCCACGTAGGCAGAAAAGATGCACGCCTCCATGCATTTTCTATGTATTTGTAAAAAAGCCACGTGGCAGAGAAGATGCACGCCCCCCATGTATCTTCTATGTATTTGTAGAAGACGCACGCCCCCATGTGCCTTTCTTGGCACGCGTGGTTATTATATGCGTAGGGGGTATATGCGTTTTCAAACTCCAAACCTCTTCCTCTCCTTCTCCGGTGACCCTTCTCTGGTGCCCTCCTTTTTTCTTCATTCTCAACTGTAACTATAAGTATTATATTTGATTTATTAGAATTCGAGATGATCTACACCATTGATTTTGTCAGTGCGATCAAGGCCACTCTTTTCTCCTGTTACTAGTAGACAAAACTTCTGATCCATGAACAGTATTCCTTAAAAAATCGAGATGATCTAGATCGTTGATTTTGTCGGTGCGAACAAGGGCGTTCTTTTCCCCTGTTACTAGGAGACAAAACTTCTGACCCATGAACAATGTTCCTTACAAATTCGAGATGACCTATACCGTTGATTTTGTCGGTGCGATCAAAACCGTTCTTTTCCCCTGTTACTAGGAGACAAAACTTCTGACCCATGAACAGTGTTTCTTACAAATTCGAGATGATCTACACCGTTGATTTTTTCGGTGCGATCAAGGCTGCTCATTTCCCCTATTACTAGTAGACAAAACTTCTGACCATGAATAATGCATCTTTCTATATGGAGATGATCTACATTGTTGATTTTTTTGGTGCAATCAAGGCCATTTTTTTAGGTTCTATTAGTGAATACGCCTAATTACTAAAGAATGAAATATAATACTAAACCCTAAACCCTAAACTGACAAAATCAACGATGTAGATCATCTCGAATTCTAATAAATCAAATATAATACTTGCCATTACAGCTGAGAATGAAGAAGAAAGGAGGGTCACCAGGGAAGGGTCACCGGAGAAGGAGAGGAAGAGGTTTGGATTTTGAAAACGCATATACCTGGCCCCATACACATTTAATAACCACCGGCTCAGGGTGCCACGCGGGCCAAGGAAGGCGCATGGGGGGCATGCGTCTTCTACAAATACATAGAAGATGCATGGGGGGCGTGCATCTTCACTACCACTACAAATACATAGAAGATGCATGGGGAGCGTGCATCTTCTCTACCACGTGGCTTTTTTACAAATACATAGAAAACGCATGGGGGGCGTGCATCTTCTCTGCCTACGTGGTACCCATGTGGCAAAAACAACCTATTTTTGTTATTAGTTATTTATTTATTTATTTATTTCGCGTATATATATATATATATATATATATATATATTTTATTATGGCTAAAAAGCCTATCTTAATATGTGAAGATATCCTATTAGGAGAATGTTATGTGCTCAATTACCACTCTCCAAAAGATATTCATGCCAACATATCTTGCTAGCCATTAGGATGCAACAACACATATACATGAATGGAAGAAGACACATTTCCTCATCCAAGTACACTCGATCGCCCTCGACACAAAGGCATACTATAAACAAGTGCGCCTTAGAAGGCATAGAAGGTGCACAATCGTCATGTAATGCAACCACCACCTCCTTTATATTCAAACAACTTTGGTACTACTCCACCTAACTCTTAACCCACTTACAACCCTCTTTATCAAGAGGGTCTTTTTTGTTATCACTACCCAAATCCTCTG